GTGGGTTAGTGGATGGGTATGGGTGTGTTGGTTTGTGAGAGTGGGTGGGGTGTGATGGTGGGGGTGGGTAGCGTGCTCGTCACTCCAGAAGGCCTGGGTTCGATTCCCCATTAAGGTACAATGTGTGAAGCCTATTTCTAGTGTCCCCACCGTGATATTGCTGGTATATTGCTAAGAGCGACGTAAAAACTAAACTTGCTCACTCAATCCATTTTACGGACTCTCTTTTGGCAGTTACTCTATAATTGCGGAGTTTTGATTGTCCCTAATGGTGGACTTGAAAATATTCTTTACTCTTACCATTCCAGAGACTAACCTAATGGTACTGACATTTGTTATAAAATATGTAACTTGTACCATGACAACAAGAGAGCTTATTGGTATATGCTAAAGCGGCGTAAAAACTAAACTCACTCACTCACTCAATCCATTTTACGGACTCTCTTTTGGCAGATACTCTATAATTGCGGAGTTTTGATTGTTCCTAATGGTGGACTTGAAAATATTCTTTACTCTTACCATTCCAGAGACTAACCTTATGGTACTGACATTTGTTATAAAATATGTAACTTGTACCATGACAACAAGAGAGCTTATTGCCATATTGGTCCACTATCGCAGAACGTCGGAAAACGTAACAAAAAATTTAATTTTGATAATCTGAATGTGTTGTGAATTAATTCCCTCTAGTTTCATAAATCAGATGTCTGTTTGTTTGTTCTGAAATTAAAGGCACACAATTTTCAGCAACCATTGTTATATATTGTCATACGCGCGTTTGTTCGAGTCAAACAGTTAAACGAGGTATCAGTGGGAAAGGAATGCCTCTTTGTAACCAATCAGAATCAAGTGTCAACAGTTGTATGCATTCTACATTTTGGCGACAATTGATGCGGTCAATACTTTGGGATCAGTTATTGTCAGAACCAACACTACATGATGATTGCTCAATACGGCGGGAACATTAGTGTGTAGGAAAACGAAAATCCGAAGAACACTAGGAGTAAGGGTATAAATTACAGAACTGTCTAAACTGCAACTAAATTTCACCGTATGTGTCACAAGTCAGGGTCGCAGTCAACTTTGTCAACTGTCAAACTCAAGTCAATATACTATCAAAAAGTAGTATTATTCCATTTCGGGGTGTTATTATTTGTAAATCAAGTTTTATGATTGTATGTGGATTTAGAAAACGATAATTCCATTCACAACTTTTCACGCAAACACGCCATTTCTGCGCAAGCGTTTTTTCATAATATGCACGTGAACAATTGAAATTTACAATGTCTGTGTGTTGCTGTACATTTCAGTCTGGAAAACCAGAGTGAGTAAGAGAGTGAGTGAGTCTAGTTTTACGTCGCACCCAGCAATATTCCAGCTATATGGCGGCGGTCTGTAAATAATCGAGTCTTGACCAGACAATCCAGTGATCAACAGCATCGATCTGTGCAACTTTGAACCCATGACATGTGTCAACCAAGTCAGCGAGCTTGACCACCCGATCCCGTTAGTCGCCTCTTACGACAAGCATAGTCGCCTTTTTATGACAAAATGGGTTGCTGAAGACCTATTCTACCCCGGATCTTCACGGATCCACGAAAACCAAACAGAAGGTTGGCCTTAAAAATTTTTTAAACTGAAGTAAACGTTTCAGTCAGATGTTCCTGTTATACTGTTAAACTATCGCTCTCATTACAGATATAAAATGTTATCATGCCACCATGTTATTGAACATCTATGCAATTTCAAACGGGCGGTGGGGTAGCCTAGTGGTTAAAGCTTTCGCTCGTCACGCCGAAGACCCGCGTTCGATTCCGTAAATGGGTACATTGTGTGAAGCCAATTTCTGGTGTCCGCCGCCGTATATATCATATTGGTGGAATATTGCTAAAAGCGGCGTAAAACTACACTCACTCACTACAAGAACCAGAACCAACAACCATAAAAACAACCGAATCTCGATTATACTCCGAAACAGATTCTATTGGCCCTTGAAGCCAAAATAGAGGTGACAATTATAGGAATGAATCCCTGAATAATAATGATGACACCGGGTGTCCGCGCAAAGAGCACGCGTTACGTGGGCATGCAACCGCCGCTACCTGCGGAATTCGAGTGATATTCCAGCAATATCAGGGGACACCAGAAATGGGCTTCACACAACGTAACCATTTAGGGAATCGAACCCGCTTCTTGGGCGTGACGAACGAGCGCTTTAACCACTAGGCTACCCCACCGCCCCTGAGGAACTCAGCCTTTATTATGTAATGTACCTTAGAGCAGATGGTGGAAATGACTGATTATGTTTACGTAGGGGAGAAGCAGTTCTACACTTATAGCTTCTATACTACCACTGAAGACGAGAATAAAGAAGTTCCGGTTGCAGTGAGACATAATCGCCTGTTGGGTGTGTCATTACTCCATTGTTTGACATCCTTTTTTGTACGGGACTGTATTTGTTTATAAGGATGGATGGTTTTAGACCAGACACCTTCTACTTTGATTTGAGTACGATCTCGTTGTGGGTGTTTATAAGTCTTGGACGTGGGTGTGAATATGTGTGACTGTATGTGAGTATGTAGGAGTATATGTGAGTATATGTGAGTATGCATGAATATATGTGAGTATGTAGAAGTATATATGTATGTGTGAGTATATGTGAGTATATGTGAGTATGCATGAATATATGTGAGTATGTAGAAGTATATATGTATGTGTGAGTATATGCGAGTATATGTGAGTATGCATGAATATATGTGAGTATGTAGGAGTATGTGTGAGTATGTGTGAGTATATGTGAGCATGCATGCATATATGTGAGTATGTGTGAGTATATGTGAGTATGCATGAATATATGTGAGTATGTAGAAGTATATATGTATGTGTGAGTATATGTGAGTATATGTGAGTATGTATGAATATATGTGAGTATGTAGAAGTATATATGTATGTGTGAGTATATGTGAGTATATGTGAATATGTGTGAGTGCATGTGAGTATGTGTGAATATATGTGAATATGTAGAAGTATATGTGGGTATGTGTGAATATATGTGAGCATGTATAAGTATATGTGGGTATGTGTGAGTGGGTGTATGTGTCAGTGTAAGTGTGTACATTTGTGAATGTGTGAGTATATGTGAGTATGTGTGAGTTTATATGAGTATTTGTGAGTATGGCAGAAGCTTGATTATTTCTACAACCATGTACTTAATTACCACGATATGGCCATGTCGAAACAACCATAGCCATTGTGCCCAGGTATAAAGTTATCTCTACCCCCATGTATCGTGTAATAAAATATGCTTGCCCCCGCAGAGCTCCAGATACGATTTAGCTCATATGGGTACTCCACCCACTGTATTTGTTTGGAGTGGGTTTTATGAATGTTGAGTGGGTATTTCATTTTCCGTTACCCACTGCTTTCAAATATGTGCGTATTTCAGTCATATTACTCACCTAAGTATTATGTCATTGAGTAAGTTTACTAAGCAGGTATGTTCTGCCTTATGTCATACCTAATCAAAACCAACTTAAATATAATGGAAATGATTGCATAAAAAATCACTCATCCTATGCTGACAGTACAACACTAGTCCTATACTAACAGTACAACTTGATAGCAATCGATGTCTTTTTATTTACGCAAGCTATTTTTACAAATATACTCCGTACGCATTTGTTTTAACCTTTTTGCATATCTAACATTTTAAATGCGTAATTGGTACGCAACAATTATTTTTCAATGCGTAATTGGAAATTTTCTATGCGTATTATACCCGGATACGCAGCTTGCCCTGGTCTATTCTAGTTGCAGCAAATGGTTGCTTGAGGCAATTGCCAGTATTCAAGCGTGTCTATTGTCTAGGGCGTAACCACTCGTCTAGAACACTGAAGTGCACCGTTGAGTTGAGCTAAGGCATAAACAGCCCCGACGTTCCGTGTCACTGGTTCTTGTGGACTATTGTGACTTGATGTTGTCCATCTGTGACAGTCGTCTCCTTGTTTCCTACATAAACTAGCAGACTCCTTTAACTGCACGCCATTAAATGGGGTTCTTACCTTGCTGATTCAACTAAACGATATCGTACATGATGGGATTCGACGGAAGTTATGTCACAAGTTTAAATATAAAATGTCACCGATCGTTATTTGAACAACCTGACAATAACAGTCCATTATGAGTCATCTCACTGTAACGGTAATGCACAGTCGTCACTTTTCACCTTTTAGCGAAAGTTTTTAAGAGGGTCGATGTATATTTTTATTTATGCCGCGACTTACACGAGATTTAACTGTCTAGTGCGATGTCACGTGACCAACTGAAACTCATTTCCAATATAGATGGATGATGTGAGCCAAGTGCAGATGCACCAAACGTGATGGGTGCTTTGTACGCTCTCTTGTCAAAGCGATTGTGTATATCAAAACATAGACTCGACCTTTGTGGTGCCTCAGTATAACTCATCCCCTGTCATGATTCAGTATAACTCGTCCCCTGTCATGATTCAATGTAAGTCGTCATGTCATAATTCAATGTAAGTTGTCATGTCATGATTCAGTATAACTCGTCCTCTGTCATGATTCAATGTAAGTCGTCTTCTGTCATGATTCAATATAAGTCGGCATGTCATGATTTAGCATAAGTCGCCCTGTCATGATTCAGTATAAGTCATCCCCAGTCAGGATTCAATGTAAGTCGTCCTCTGTCATGATTCAATGTAAGTCGGCCTGTCATGATTCAGTAGAACTCAACTCATGCTTTGTTCTCTCGTGGCCCAGTACCACTTGACCTCTCCGATGTTTGACTATATTTGACCTCTGTCATGTATCCTTATATTCTGTCGTATGTGATGTTTCAAGGAATGGAGTATGTGTTGTTCACGTTCCGCCAGCGGTGGAATACCGCCCGGAAGGTCTGCAGGGGCCACGGTGGTCGTCTGGCCATCTTGGACACAGTGGAGCGCCTGGCCAGGATCAGGAACCTGTCTGAAGGGGTTTGGGGATACGAGTAAGTCAAATATAATAGTGAGTGAGTATGGTTTTACGCCACTTTTAGCAATATCCCAGAAATATCACGACAAGGAACACCAGATATGGATATACAAGATATGGGCTTCACACAAATACTCATGTGGGAAATCGAACCCGGGTCTTCGGCGTGACGAGCCAACGCTTTAACCACTGGGCTACCCCACCGCCCCTCAAATATAATACTGATCTTTGATCGCGACAGTCTTTGAACAGTATTTTGATGCTGACACTGGCATACCAAACATCGGCTGTCCAGCAATTTGCCAGCAACATCATTTTCACTGTCTCCTACATATCCAAGTGGTACCTTTCTAATACACCCATTATAATAATATTAATATACCGTCAAAGTCGATAAGAATTTAAAGTGTGTACAGCAAACTACGTTTGTAACAAATACTCTTATGACTTCTTGATGGTTCTAACAAACTGTTGCTTTGGTCCCGCCATTTGCTGTATATTGTATTTGATATGCGTTGTAACGAACATATATCAGTGGTCCCCTTGGGTTCTGTTTAACTGGAGTTTCTGTATTTGAACAAACTTGGTTTTGTATGACATCTAATTCTGTGTTGTTGTTGTCAACAGATCCAAATACAGGTGGGCTGGGCTCCAGGTGAATCAGTCTATGTTACTGTGGGAGGGTACCTGTGCGAAGCAGGATCTGTCCAATTCGACACTGGCGTTATTCAACTCGAGGTATGCCGAGTCTCCCGGATTCCCTAGTGGCCAGTGTTTCGTACTGCTCCCGGGGCAACATGTGCTGTCCGATCACCCCTGCGTCCACCGTCATCCCTTCATATGCGAGCTGCATGCAACAGACGGAGGTATGCGGATCCGTGTCAAGTCAAAACATTGATTACACAAGAGTCTCGTTTCTTGTTGACTGGGTTCCGTCCTATTACGCAAATTAGTAAAATAACCAGTGCAGAATTTTGAGACCAATATTTATTTAACTGGATACATAAATATTAATCAGTATTATTTGATACATCTAAGTACTTGTATAATGCAACACTACGCTCCTTCTAATCCGTGCAAGCACGCCGTGCAAAGTGGTCTGTCGTACAGCCAGCACTGACAAACAGAAACCTGGAAATCGTGGAAATTTCAAAACGAGGCTCTGCCGCTAGAAAAGTTTGGCGGTCTGGTACGGACTTGATATTATATCAATCACATTGTTCGTTAAAAGAACTACAGAGGGCATGCGTTCTTTGACGTTGGGAAGGCAGGTTCAGTCCTCTGGAATGAACTTGCAGGTCACATACAGCAAATCACTGACTTTCAAACATTCCAGCAGAGGCAAATATTGCCTGTCCTTTGAAGGTTATCATTATGCTTGGATGACCTTCTCCACGTAAATTTTCTTCCGAGAAAAAGAAAACGCGAATGCCGTATTTATGGCGACACTGCCCTGAATATCTCGGACGTGGGTTTGACGCCGATTTGAACAGTACATTCCAGTTATATTACGGCGTGATGGTCACATGTCAGTCACAAGGTCACAGAACAGTTGAAGGTAAGCAATGTTGGTCACAGAAAGTTCATGGATGGGTGACCGTTTTTGGCAGCTTGACTCCTGAGAGTTTCTAAAACTTCAGTTCTGCCCCACAACAAAGCACACGTGGCATATGTGGTCTCACCGCAGGCAAGTGAGTTTGTTCAAAATTGTCTCTGTAACCCAGCAGTGAATGGATACCTGGTAGCATGAAATAGTCATGTGACGGTAACTTTGACGTCTCTACAAATGTATTATATGATAGTATTATGTATGGGTTAACGATACATGTCAGTCACTGACATGTCAAATCCAGGTTAGATTCCCCCACATGGGCACAATATGTGAAACTCATTTCAGGTGGCCCCGTGGTGATTTTGCTGAAATATTGCTGAAAGCAGCGCAAGACAATTCTCACTCACTTAAATCAGTGAGGAAACGTGGGCGTCAAACAGCGACTATTGTGATGTAAACCATCACTGGTATCATTGTCAACAGTGGCTGTATCTCAGCTATCCGAAATAGCCTCCAGGCTCCATCGGTAACACTTCCATAGGGGTTCCGGGTGGGTACAAGCAGCCAGCAAGCTCGTCACTAGCAACATGTGATGGCAGTCAGGTGGTCAGGTCACGACGTGGATTGATGTTCATAACATCAATCACTGGATTAACTGGTCAGGATTCCATCACATGAATTATAGTAGCATTAAACAAGACAAGACACAAACCTGCTGTCAAACCTCATCTTGTCTTTATTCCAGTGTCAATAAACAGCCAGAATACCACAGGATACATGGAAGAGGGAGACGATTCCGAGACGCCCCATCCGTGTGAACCGGCAGTCTTGGACGGTATGGGGTTACATGTTGTACTAGTCCTTTCACAAAGCACTAAGGTGATCGTAAGTCACTAAGGTAACCTTAGTGCAATGTTAAAGAATGGCAATTAAGGTTAACCTCAGTAAAGGTTGCTTCGTGAAAGGAGACCCTGGTTTATAGCCACTGCCTGTTCCACATCAACTAATGGCTATCAGAAGATAATTATTATTTTCAACAGGCTTTCCAACGTGCAGCTCGGAAGATATGCATGTCACGAATACCATAACAAAAATAAATAGTCATGATCTCAAGATTAATATTCAATGTCATATTCTTCCTCAAAATAAGTTTTATAAAATGTCTAAACTCTTGCATTATGTAAGTGAACTGTTTTTGGTGAACAAGTTAAGAGGTAGAAGTATTCTCATCGTCACAAGGCTGAATAAAAAACATCCGAGGTTGAGAGTAATTTCATTGGATTTGAATTTGTTTGTCAGGTGGTGGTCAGTGTGTACATGTACTCATGTTTTGTGTTGTCTGGACACTGCAGGACAAACAACAACTGAGACGGACCCAACCACGCAAGTGACTTCTGTTCCTACAGATGAAACCTCTTCGCCAGCTAACGATAACATCTGGGGTCTAATCATCGGGGGTCTAATCGAGGCTTCTTCGCCAGCAAACGATACTTTTGTGGGTGCTGACGAGAATACATCCCCAGCGAACGATCAACATGTGGATGCAGACGAGACTTCTTCGCCAGTGATTGTTAACTATTCGGATGAGGTGACTTTTGTTCCTTCAGATGTGACTCCTTCGCCAGCGAACGATCACCATGTGGACGAGACTTCTTCGCCAGTGATTGTTAACTATTCGGGTGAGATGACTTCTGTTCCTTCAGATGTGACTCCTTCGCCAGCGAACGATCACCATGTGGACGAGACTTCTTCGCCAGTGATTGTTAACTATTCGGGTGAGGTGACTTCTGTTCCTCAGATGTAACTCCTTCGCCAGCAAACGATAACTATTCGGATGCAGATGAAACCACTTCGCCACCGATTGTTAACTATACGCGTGAGGACGAGACTTCTTCGCCAGCAAACGACAACTCTGGGACAACAGACAACATCGTAGACAGTGCAGACAGCACCCCTCGGGCGGCAGAGAGCCAGGTCTGTAGAGAATATAATATCCCTGTAATGAGCGAGAAGGAACTGGATGCCGTTCTGGCAGCTATCGCAAAAAGAGTTGGCCGTGGACAAGGAGAACCTGTCTAGACGTGTTCGGAAGAAGGTCAGTGCCCAGGACCACAGACCATCCGCCGCCAGTATTGGATATGTAGCTGTCTTCATAATATCCATTCCAGTCTTTGTTATCCTCGTCTTAGATATCCCCGAGCTGTTCAGCAGATCAAGTGTGTGTTCTTCACTATCAAAACCAAAGGGCAGGCCAACTCGAACGGCCAAGTTGGTTTAACTGTATGAATCGGTTGCCTATTAAGAAAGTTGTATTTTTCATATTTTCTATGGAGAAACAAACGTCACACAAACGTTTTCAAAGATTTCAACGATCGCAAAATGTGACTAAATCTAAATCTCAGTATACTGTACCCAATTTGATAACAACATTTAGCATGATGTTTGTGGTGCACAGGAATGACATCAATGTACATAGTGGATCATCCTGGATTTGGACGCAAGGAGTACCTGCTTTCAAGTTATCCATCATGCTAGAGGAGGAACTTCGGGATGTTTAAATCACTATTACTTCAGAAAATGGTTGAAGTGTCAATCGCAGGCAATCATTTTATATTGAAAGATGCGGCAATAAAATACCATAGACGCCCGAAAGCGTAAACACACTTCACTCACAGTTGAAACAGTGTTGGTGTGTGTGTTGTTGATATGTGTGTACATGTCTCTCTCTGTCTCTCTCTCTCTCTCTCTCTCTCTCTCTGTCTCTCTCTCTCCCTCTGTTTGTCTCTGTGTGTTGTTGTTATATGTGTGTGTACATGTCTCTCTCTCTCTCCCTCTGTGATTTTCTGTCTCTCTCTCTCTCTGTGTTGTTGTTACTTGTGTGTGTACATGTCTCTCTCTCTGTGTTTGTCTGTGTGTGTTGTTATGTGTGTGTGTACATGTCTTCTCTCTCTCTCTCCCTCTGTGTTTGTCTGTGTGTGTTGTTGTTATTTGTGTGTGTACATGTCTCTCTCTCCCTCTGTGTTTGTCACTGCGTGTGTGTGTTGTTATTTGTGTGTGTACATGTCTCTCTCTCCCTCCCTCTGTGTTTGTCTGTCTCTGTGTGTGTGTGTTGTTGTTATTTGTGTGTGTACATGTCTCTCTCTCAGTGTTTGTCTCTGTGTGTGTGTGTTGTTATGTGTGTGTACATGTATCTCTCTCTCTCCCTCTGTGTTTGTCTGTCTGTGTGTGTGTGTGTTGTTGTTATTTGTGTGTGTACATGTATCTCTTTCTCTCCCTCCCTCTGTGTTTGTCTCTGTATGTGTGTACATGTCTCTCTCTCTCCCTCTGTGTTTGTCTCTCTATCTCTTTCTCTCTCTCTTCACTCTTTATCTTCAACAGGAAAAGCATTCTTCTTCCTCGTTGTTCTATATATACACCGTACTTACTGATACCCTTCATGTTTACCAATGTTTACCTGTTTCTACCTGCACATATACACTCTGACAGCCACACCCGACAGAGAAGGCTATATCTGTTTATATCCACCCACACTTGCTACCGTGCTTTATGTATTATGGGCAACGTGGTGGTACAGACAGTGGAGGTATTTTTCGGCGTATCCGCGGCTACAATCTACACCAGTCGCAGCGACAGCGTCAACTTTGGGACTGAGAATATCCCCATTTTTATAGTTAATAATGACCCAAACACTGGATATATAGAGTTATTTGATAGGGATGGTTCTGACACGGGCGTCATAGTTTTGGACACCACCTCCGCAGTGATTGGGCATGTAGACATTTTGAAAACTTTGGTTATTTGTGAAGACCGCTTTCAAGAGCAATGATGACAACTTTTGTTATTGGAATGAAGTAGCAATTGCATAGAGTCCATGGAAATATTGAGTCTTCTTCGCACGAATGCTCATTTTAGTAATGTACTACATTCGTCTCCGCCTTGACGACAGGCACATTGTTTGTACATATTCCTATTCCGCTCCCGTCTGTGAATTCTGTTTATTAACGGTGGAAAATACTGTTATTAAGTGATTAATTACCAAAATATGCTGTCGTGCGAATCGATATTATTATGGAATCCAGGCAATTCCTACTTTATTTCAATAAACATAATATATTGTTCGTATCACAAACGCTGAGCGGTGTAACATGTTGATAGAGAACTGATGCAGCAACCCCAGCGACAGTGTTAACGACAGAACGGAGAGTGAACCTTGTTTGTCCTGATCGCTCAAGCGCCGAATTCCTTGCATGTTAAAAATATACACAGGATAAACGAGAGCGTCAAGTACAGAACCATGACCTGGTTTGACAACCTCACACCTTGCCACGTGAGTCATACCTACAAAATGTACTTTACCTGTGGCCCGTGATCGCAACCCAAAGCAGTATTGTGCTAGATGATGTCTACAGTTTGCAAACCTCTACCACCTTCACCAGTATGAGCCTAAACTTAAAAGCTCTCATGAGACTTTAGTTATTATTTCTGAGGTCCCGGCTTTCGTATGACCTCTGATTAACCAGGATAGATGACAGAATTAAATCTGAGTCGCTTGAATTGTTTCTTTTTCTTACACGTTTCAGTAACACGTTCCTTTTGAAGATCAGGGTTACAATTAGTCTCGATAAACAATGCTCGCCAGGGATCGGGTGGTCAGGTTTCGTCGACCTCGTTGATATACAACATCGTATCTCAATCACTAAGATCGATACTCATGATGTCAATCACTCGATTGTCTACTGCAGGTCGATATTGCTGGTAATATTCATGTACTATTACGACAGGGGACACAAGAAATAGGCTTCACACAAATCCGGGCTTTCAGCGCGCCGAGCGAACGCTTGAACCAGTTGTTTACCCCATTGCCCCTGTTTCTCTGTGCCTGATGAACTAAAACATATGATATGTTATAGTCGCACGGTAGTTTAGGAATGTCGTTATGTGTTTACCTATCATGTAAATGGAAGATGATAGCGGGTGGTATGACTGTGCATCTATCCCAGACGCAATCGACCTGCATAATGGCCCTCCGTTATCAAGATGCTATCATGGCGTTCACGAAGCAGCCAGACTGTATACATCTTCCCATGACCTCCTGGCACGAAGGTAACAAGCATGCAATGACTACCCGACACGCATCCTAACGAGATTATGTTAAAGATACAACTCCGAGAAATCAAACTGAATTAAATGTATGCAACAAAATAAACTCTATTGGACGTAAAAGGAAAATTTGTGAAATGTTGAAAATGACATGAATGGATCACTCGAAACCAGTGATATATACAGTATATTTAAATTGTTTTCATGTCATGGATTGGAGCTATGTTTCTGCTGGTACACTGAGTGAAGCCAGTTTCATCGTTTGTTCGACCCGTGAAGATCCGGGATAGAATTGATGTTCCGTAACCAAGGCGTGTAGTAAGAGGCGACTAACGGGATCAGGTGGTCAAGCTCGCTGACTTGGTTGACACATGTCATCGGTTCCCAATTGCGCAGATTGATGCTCATGCTGTTGATCACTGGATTGTCTGGTCCTGACTCAATTATTTACAGACCGCCGTCATATAGCTGGAATATTGCTGAGTGCGGCGTAAACTAAACTCACTCACTCACTCGTCGTTTGTTCATTAGTATATATTTTGGTTAACTGGTCAATTATTTTCAGGCATTCATTCATGTAATTTTAACAGCTGTTTTCTCTTTGACCAAAGGAAATCTGTGTCTGGGGATAATGAAGTCTGGGTATTCTATTGCTCTGACTTGTTTTCATATTTAAATGCATGAACTATAATATATATTAGACAATTAGTAGGAAATCTTCAAGCAGTATTTTATAACTGTGCTATATTGTGACACATATGACGGTAAACACATACACTCCCCACAGGTACATTGTTTCGTAAAGTGATTAAGATTCACATAGCCCATGTATTTCAAAGTCACATAAAGGAAAAGAGGAAATCTCGGTATAAAAGAACTTCAAAGAAGACCTCATATCAAGGGTATACTATGTTGGTTGCTGCATTCAGCAATATTCCAGCTTTATTGCGGCGGTCTGTAAATAATCGAGTCTGGACCAGACAAACCAGAGATCAACATCATGAGCATCGTTCTTCGCAATTGGGATACGATGACATGTGTCAACCATGTCAGCGAACCTGACCACCCGATCCCGTTAGTCGCCTCTTACAACGAGCAAGGGTTACTGAAGACCGATTCTAACCCGGATCTTTACGGGTAGGGAAACTATGTCCCTACAAGGTAAACTATGCCGCTTACAAGGTAAACTATGTGACATTTACGTCTTCCCTTCCATTGCTGCATTGTTCGTGTGCTGCAGTGACTGAGTGTCGGTATATAATGTCACCACCGTAACGGTCCTATCACAGCCGTGTTCTTCTACGCCAGACTCTTCAGGTGCATCGAGACGTACTGCAGAGTATTTTTGTTAGTAACTCTGCCTTAACAAAATATATAATTTATTACTAAGTGCTTGTTTGAATTCATAACTGATAAATGGATTAAACCATTACTGACTGAGGTAATTAGTATGCTAAAGTATGTGCAGTCAACCAGAAAATTTTATAAGCTGTGGAAGTTTTGGGAGGATACCCTTATATCTAATTGTTTAATCGGCATTTTAGAAGTTGGTGAGTCAAAAATGAAACATACAACTTTATGGATGACAACTTCTTGTTTATTGCACAGAGTCTTTACGCACCAATGGTTTTCAATATTACTGCTTTCAACCTTTCATTAAAGTGGTATGTACCATTTGAGTGTGCACTTTGCCTACAGTAAATACAGAACAAAGACTGTCTATGTTGATGACCCATTTATAGTCCAGTCATCCTACTTCATGTACAGTACAGCTCAACCTAGAACAAATGGCAATAAAAGTTAACTCATCTGTTTTGTAATCATATGATATTTATTTTAAGATACCACAAGTATAGGAATAGGAAACGTATAGGACGTTAGTTCGTCCAAAGAGAGATTGAATGAGTACACTGCACAGAGATATGTCCCGTAAAAGGGCTTTTATCACATAAATTCAGTTTTAGAGCTCAACTTATTCA